AAGGGAAGAAGGAGAACCCGGGGAAGTACAGGATGGTCAGCCTCACCTCAGGCCCTGGAAAAATCATGGAGCAGGTCCTCAAGGAAACCATTTTGAAGCAGTTGGAGGAGAGGAAGGTGATTAGGAACAGTCAACATGGATTCACCAAGGGCAAGTCATGCCTGACGAACCTGATTGCCTTCTATAACTGGCTCTGTGGATATGGGGAAAGCAGTGGACATGATATATCTTGACTTTAGCAAAGCTTTTGATATGGTCTCCCACAGTATTCTTGCCAGCAAGTTAAAAAAGTATGGACTGAATGAATGGAATATAAGGTGGATAGAAAGCTGGCTAGATTTTTAGGCTCAACAGGTAGTGATCAATGGCTCGATGTCTAGTTGGCAGCCAGTATCAAACGGAGTACCCCAGGGGTTGGTCCTGGGGCCGGTTTTGTTCAACATCTTTATTAATGATCTGGATGATAGGATGGATTGCAACCTCAGCAAATTTGCAGATGACACTAAGCTGTGGGGAGAGGTAGACAAGCTGGAGGATAGGGATAGGGTCCAGAGTGACCTAGGCAAATTGGAGGACTGGGCCAAAAGAAATCTGATGAGGTTCAACAAGGACAAGTGCAGAGTCCTGCACTTAGGACGGAAGAATCCCATGCACCGCTACAGGCTGGGGACCGACTGGCTAAGCAGCAGTTCTGCAGAAAAAGACCTGGGGATTACAGTGGATGAGAAGCTGGATATGAGTCAGCAGCATGCCCTGGGGCTGCATTAGTAGTAGCATTGCCAGCAGATTGAGGGAAGTGATTATTTCCCTCTATTTAGTACTGGTGGGGTCACATCTGGAGTATTGCATCCAGTTTTGGGCCCCCCAATACGGAAAGGATGGGGACAAATTGGAGAGAGTCCAGTGGAGGGCAACGAAAATAATCAGGGGGCTGGGGCACATGACTTATGAGTAGAGGGAGAGGGAACTGGGCTTGTTTAGTCTGCAGAGGAGAAGAGTGAGGGGGGATTTGATAGCAGACTTCAACTACCTGAAGAGGGGTTCCAAAGAGGATGTAGGTCGGTTGTTCTCAGTGTTGGCAGATGACAGAATAAGGAGCAATGGTGTCAAGTCACAGTGGGGGAGGTCTGGGTTGGATACTAGGAAACACTATTTCACTAGGAGGGTGGTGAAACACTGGAATGGGTTACCTAGGGAGGTGGTGGAATCTCCATCCTTAGAGGTTTTGAAGGCCCAGTTTGACAAAGCCATGGCTGGGATGATTTAGTTGGTGTTGGTCCTGCTTTGAGCAGGAGGCTGGACTAGATGACCTCCTGAGGTCTCTTCCAACCCTAATCTTCTGTGGTTCTATGATTCTATGGTTGACATAAATAGATACACCTCATTATGTATAGAGCCAGGTCTAGTTCCTGCTGAGTTTACTGGACACACTTTTAGATTCTCAGCTCTCTACAAGCAATAGGAGTAGCTCCTTCTTTGTGGGTGTGTCTTTAAAAGTTATTAGGGGCATTCCCAGTAGTGGCTTCAAACAGGTCATGGCCTATATATCCTTAGCTGAATGTTTCACCTGAGTCTGTATAATAGTTTTTAAGGTTGGATCTTGCAGAAATATGCCTAGAAGATGTATTTGCTGTTCCGTTTTGTAGGAAACTGGTCTCCCTGAGCATATTTTTTCACATATCACAACCTTACCTCACCCACTTTGTCTCTCTTGAGATTAATGTGGATGTTTAGGTGATTTATCAATGTATATCCTGATACTAAAGCCAAGGAATCCGTAACTTTGAGGAGACTTACTCTGTTGGACTTCTGTATGTAGGCAGTTGCTCAGCACTACAGAAGAAGGTTTTGGAGTTTTATGAAATTTGGAGAATATTGTTATTGTTACTGCATGAGAGGTTTTTCTTTTGTGAATTATCATGAGTCATAAAGCTTCTGTCTCTGTAGGTCAGTGGTGGGCAACCTGCGGCCCGAGGGCTTCATGTGGCCCATCAGGGTAATCTGCTGGCGGGCCATGAGACAATTTGTTTACATCGACCATCCACAGGCACGTTCACCCACAGCTCCCAGAGGCCGCAGTTCCCGCCGCTCCCATTAGCCAGTAATGGTGAACTGCGGCCACTGGGAACTGCGGGCAGCCGTGCCTGCAGATGGTCAGTGTAAACAAACTGTCTCATGGCCTGCTAGCGGATTACCCTGATGGGCCATGTGCATCCCGCGGGCCGCAAGTTGCCCACCACTGCTGTAGGTCATATTAAGATCTTTGGTTACACTTGTGTAACACTATTGTCTTCAGATTATAACCTCAGTCTCACCTGTGCTTTCAATGGGACACTGTAAGTGGGACACTTCAAAGTGGACTCAAGTTAATTTAAGGCCAGCAGGGACCATTACGATCACCGAGTCTGACTTCCTGCAGAACACAGGACATAGAACCTCATCAAGTCATTTTTGCATCAAGACCACATTTTCAGTTTGAGCTATAGCATATATTTTAGAGAGATATCCTGCCTTTATTTAAAACCTTCAAGTGATGGAAATTCCACTGCACCCTTAGGCAAGTTGTTCCAGTGGCTAATTACTTTCACAGTTAAAACTGTGTCTCTTATTTCTAGTCTGAATTTGTCTAGCTTCAGCTTCCAACCAGTGCACCTTATTAAACCTTTTTCTGTGAGATTAAAGAGCTGCCTTCTACTCCTCCATGATATTGTCCTTTGCTTATGCAACCAAGGATTGCATCTCTTCCCCATGTAAATTCTTGATAATGTTATCAAATCACCTCTTAATCATCTCTTGGATTAACTAAGTAGCTTGATCTTCTTTAGTCTCTCACAATAAAACGTGATTTCTGGACATCAGATCATTCTTGTAGCACTTCTCTGAACCTTTTCCAATTCGTTAACATTATTTTTGAAGTGTGGGCACCAGAACTAGACCCGCACCAGAACTAGACCCAGGATTCCAGTAACGGTCTCGCTAATGCTGTATGCAAAGCTAATACCCCCTCCTTTTTACTCCTGCTTGATATCACCTCCCCCCACATTTATACATCCAAGGATTGCACTCACCTGCTTAGCCACACCCTTGCATGGAAGCTCATGTTCAATTGGTAAACTATCATAATCCTTAAATCCTTTTCAGAGTCACTGCTTTCCAGGATAGTCAGCCAATTTATAAGTGTGACCTACATTCTTTGTTCCTAGATATGTGACCTTGCATTTGACTGTAGTAACACACACTGTTCAAATGAACCCATTTTACCAAGCGAACCAGGTCGGTCTGTAAAACTGACCTGTTCCCATCCATTATTTACCATTCTGCCACTTTTGGTGTCATATGCAAATTTTCTCCCAGCTCATTCATAAAAGTCAATGAATAGCATTTGGCCAAGAACAAAGATACCTGTGGGATTCCACTAGAAACACCCCTAATGGGTAATAATTCTCCATTTACAATTAGTTTTTGGAATCTATCAGCCAGTTTTTAGCCCATTTAAATTGGCTGCATGGACACAGGAGAACTGTACTCTATTTCTGACTCTGCCACTCATTGCTTGGTGACCTTGGACAAGTCACTTTATCTCTCTGACTTGTTTTAATAATAAATTAGTATCAGGTGCAACTGTTAGAACCTCACCATCAATAGCATTGTTTGCTAACAAGAAAGAACAGAATTTGCACTTGATCCTGAAGTTGTAATTGGAGTAAAAAGCAGCAAAAATTCCTTTTGGCACTGAAGTCAGCAGATAGGACACTGCATACATATAAGGAGAATATTACTTCAATTAGGGCCATTTTTTACATAGTGAAGCACAGTTAAAGGCTAAATGATTCCCAAAATATATGTTGAAGTCTCTCAAATTAGAGATTAGGATAGAATAACTGCTCTTAAAATTCTATTAGTCTCATTACACACAAGTAGTAAGATGTTGCTCCTTCTGGACCTCAGCACAGATATGTAGATGGAAGATGGTGACCCTGATAAGTCCTTTCATAAAGGGAAGAAGCTGAAGCCTTTCAGTTTTACATTCTGAATTATGCTACTTTCATCCTAATTTTCTTCTTTGTTGACCAATGTATATTATGGGATTTAGGGCAATAGTTAAAAGAAAGTGATGAGCAATGAAGAACCTAAAATCCAGGGCAAAATCTATGACGTATTTTTCTTTCTGTTCAGAAACATTTCTGAGCGAGTGCTTATTACAGTGAAAAAGGATTTAGCCACAGTAGTTTTCTTTTCTCGATAGGAAGTGACTGTTTAACCAAAAACAAAAAAAACAAAAAAAAACAACAATTCCTATTCAGAAGCACTAAGACAATCTCACAGGACATATGCCAAAAGATACTGATTTCAATCCTCAGTTATGGCCAAAGACTCCTGGAATAATCTCAGAAGTGACCCTGGGCTCCTTTCATTCTTGACCAGCTGTATACCAATCTGAACTCATGCACAACAAGGCTGCTTTAAATTAAGCCATTTGCAAATGGAACCCATGGACCAACAGGGCAGAGTGGGGTCACCATCCCATAAAGAATCCTTGGCTAGTTCCTGTTGCTCATGGCAGCTCCCTATATGCCACCAGCAGGAAGGAGTGGATGGAGTAGAAGCCACCATGTTGGCTCTACATCACAAGCAATTATCCCTACACTGAGGTGATCTTCCCATGCCCAGCTATATCAGAATGATAAATTGTTCTCTGCCAGCTACCTGACATAAACCAACAGCACCACACAGTAGGATCTGGCCCAGTGTGTTTAAGCAGCAGAATCTAAGCAGTAGGGAGTAGTCAAGACAAGTTAAGGGGCCAGAATTTCTATTTTTGAGCATCCAGTTCTTCCAGTGACTGCAGTGGGAGATAGAGCTAGATAATGTATTTTTGAGCACTAATGTAACTACTATACAAGAAGTATTTAGAATAGATCTCTCAGTGAACAGAATTTGCTTTTGGCATCAGTTCACATATCTCATGAAATGCATCATTAAAAGAAAGCAAACAACTATGGGATTAAATAATTTATTACCGTTGCTAAAATGAACACAGATACTTGATACCCAGTTGTATGCAGAACTGTAAAAAAATAGTTTTAATACAGTATCAAAATTTACACAAGTGTAACGTCAAAAGACCAGTGTCCCTTGAATTAGCCCCTGCAGGTAAATACTACTCTTTTTCTCCCCTCCCCCCCACGTTATAGGAATACAACAATTTAAGTTTAATGATAAAACTGCTTGAGAGAAAAATATGGAAATGTAACAAGCATTTTTTTTATATATAAGAACTATTTTAAAAATGCCATGTTTCAAAATTAAAAACCAGATTCTGCAGTCCTCACTCAAGGAAAAGGAATCAACAAGAGTTGTGCCTGAGAAAGGAATGCTGGATTGGAGGCCTTACATCTCTGTTGAATGGTACCAAATAAAATGACAGAACAGATATAATTACTGCCACAAATTAATCCATAACAGTTTTCTGAAGACAGGAAGCTGATTTTACACCACCATATAAAAAAGGTTGCACAGCAGCCCAACTACATTCCACTTCCAACAAACCAGTATACAACATATAACAAGCCCACAAAAACCAGAGAATATCACCTTTGAATCAAATTTTAGTAATCAAGAACAAACCCAAAACCTGGGAATTGTTGCATTCCTATTTTTTGATGCTCAGCTATGGTAAAAAGTTAAGCAACAGCATTCAGTCACAAGCCTGTCGCACATTCATACAAGAAAGTATTTGTTGCATTTAGATATACACAAAATACCTATCATAGCATTTCAATACACACAATCTAATGTTATACACACAGAAAAAAATTAAACTAAGCACATCTAGGGCACCTCCTGGTCAAAACTCAGGCAATCTGAACAAGAGCTTTTAGCCTCAGAATAAATTAAAGACATGCTTTGAGAAGAATAAAAGTTTTATTTGAAAGAACATTACAGTAGGCAAGGAAAGCTTTTCATAAATGCAGTGCAATCTTTTAGACTCATATTTTTCTTAAATAAAACAGCATGTCTCTAAACTAAATGGTAGAAATAAGCATTGGCAATTGGAAAATGCTCTCAGAAAAGAACTCTGATGGTGGTTTTGGTTTGAGGTCTTAAATATTGTTACCTCAGTGTTCTATTCGCAGGGTGCTGCCCATCATGTATGTTTCCAGGAGGCATGCACAAAAGAGAATGCAAAAAGTCTATCTTCACTTTCATTTAGAAAGAAATTGTGTTTTGCTACATGTACTGTAGTTTTTGCTACACTACTGGCTGGTTAGGAGATTTTATTGTCTTTTAGCACCTCAAATGCAAGTATTCTAAAAAAAAGTAATTTCAGCTGCAAATTGCCTAAGCACCATTAACTAATACTGTCGACTGAAGCGTGAGCTACCAAGTATCTGACTTTCCTGTAACTGTGATGACTCAAGGCACAGTTTTTTGGTGTCTCTCCACTCTGGTGAAAAACTCCTGCTAAACCTAATTAAAATTCATTCAGACTCAATGAAGGTTCACCATAACTGTCTTTTAAAAAAAAAAACATTTTTGTGTATCTCCTGCAGAATACCAATTATGTTTTAAATAAGAAGCATTCAGATCTCTTCACTCTGAGCGTGTAGTTTTGAATGACAATGCCATGGCTAAGAGGCAGAGTTTAACTCTACAGTATCCTGAAATGACAGTGCCAGGACTCTAGGGTACATAACTGTTGTCTGAAAGACTTTTATGAAGAAGCTGTGCCAATTTTCAAAGCAGTAGTGTAGTCAAGAGTAAACAGAGTTTACCCACTTCTCAGTCAGAGAGTATGGAGTTTAGGTCAGTTTATCCACTTTTTTTTAACCACTTCACCACTGTTTCAAAGAAGTCATGTATACTGCATGTAGACATCCTGTTGTCAGCTGAGAAGTTACTGTGGATAGAGTAAGTTCCCTCTATCCGTCACTTGCCATTTAAACTCTATCTTCTGAGAGGGGTGACACTCAGGTCCTTTTACATAGGTCCTTTATACTGATTTCCTGACAAATGTTGTCTAATTCCAGGACATGAACCTGCAGCATCTCCAAGCTTCCGCCACACAACCTAAAGGCAAGTGATAGAAAGAGATGTCAGCTATATCATCCAACCAAAAGTGGATTTGTGTATCTGTATGCATTATATATATATATAAATATATATACACACACACACCATGCAGCATAGACAGAAATAGAGGCAGAGAGACAAAGGAAGAAGGAAGAATAAATTTGGAAGGAGATTCAGTATTTTCATTTTTGACCATCTGTTACTTAGAAGTCTGTTCAGGAGCAATGTCTGTCCTGAAAACAAGGGCCAGGTTTGGAAATCTTTATGCAATCATTTATTAGGCAAAACTCCCATCAAAGTCAATTTCAGACACACAGGCCCCAATGCAGCAAAGAGTTTAAGCAAGTGCTTAGCTTTAAGAACATGAGTAGTCCCATTGAAATCAACAGAAGTGGTCCTATACTTAAAGTTAAGCACATACTCCAGTGCTTTTGCTGGATCAGGGTCACACATGATTTAGTAAGAATTTAAGTTTTTTCATAGTGTGGACTACATGTGAACAAATTTGCTCCTTGTCCTCACCTCTGTTCCCATTCATGATTGTATTAAATACATGCCACAACTACAACAATTGTTAGCACAGAAGGTAATATTAGGAAAGCATTTAGTGTATTCTTAGTTGGCTTTTAATGAAGTTTACAAATAGGAAACAAGAACAGTTAGCAACACATGACTTGGCATCTCTCTCTGGACCACCAAGAAGCAAGCAATGGACAAGATTGGTTATTAAAAAGAGAAATAGAAGCAAGACAAGGTCAGAAGTAAAGATAAAATATGGGAGTACAAATTCAAGCACAGGGCTGTGAAGGGATTTGTCTTTGGACCGGTTGGATGGGCCCAAACCAAGACTCCAGACCCCATCACCCTCTGAATTTTGTGTTCCAAATTGCTCCCACATTATGGCCTGAGCTCATGTCTGATTTGAAGGAGATGGGTGGAATTAACAAAAAAGGCCATTCCTAACAAAACAGTAACAGTAAAAATCATGGAAAACATGTTGATAACCAGAGACCAGTGTCATACCTATAGCACAGTAATTGACACCTATAGGCTAGTTTCACAAAGGGACTTAAGTGTCCTGATGCCTCTAGAGTGAGGCAGCAGTGCATATGCTGAGACGCAGAAACATAGGTGACTTTTACTGCAAAAACTTAGGTGCCTGCTGGGTTAGGCGGCAGGTGAGTGGGAGGCTGCGAATCACAGTGGTGCCTACATCTGGGATTTAGGCACCTAACTAGCACTTTAGGTCCCAAAGTCCCAGATTTAGGTGCCACTAGGATTCACAAAATCCCCACTTAGCTGCCCCCTAACCCTCAAACGTAGTTGGTACCAAACTTTTTGCTGCAAAAGTTCCCTAGTCACCCAGCAATTGTGAGGAGGGGGGCGGATTAAGAAGCAGTTCCCTCAAAACTTTTAGCCCAGTGGTTCGGATGTGAAAGATGCCCAATTCCTCTTTATTTTTCAAGAGAGTCATTGGAGCAGGGGGACCGGAATGCCCTATCCACCAGGATATGGAGCCATGCTCACAGTGTCTCCAGCTCAGTGACTTCAATTATTTAGCAAAGTGGAACAGCTTCAACTGGCGAGATTGAGGGAGATTCACATCAGACTATCCCATAGCTCAGTGGTTAGGGCCCTCACCTGAGAGGTGATAGATCTCTGTTCAAAACCCTTTTCATCAGGTGCTGGGGAGACTTGAATGGGGGTTAATATCAGAATCTGAATCAGACAACCACATGGGATCTGTTGTTACCAGCAGCCACCTTTGCTTACGTGTAGAAAGCAACCTATATGCGGGCCTTGAAGCTATTCCAGCATATTGAGTTTGGTACTAGTTAGGATTTTCACTGGCACCTGTCTGAAGACATAGAGCAATGTGGGCCAAGCATCTCAGGAGTGGCCGCAAATACCCACATTTGTGCCCACAAAGGCACATTTCCCCTCAATCAAGTAATTGTATGTGGAACCTCATTTGTGTGGGCATGTCTAAACGAGCAGATATGCCCCAGCGTGCTACACAGCAACTCTACAGTGCTCCAGCAAGCCATGCACTAAATAGCAATGTGGACACTGCTGTGGCATGCTAGAAGTTTCCTAGTGAGCCCTGATATACTGTTGATACAAACAGTAGTATTTCAATAAGGACTAGGGAACTTTGTGAGCAGTAGCATGGTTCACCTGGACAGTTAGCGTGCAGCACGCTGGAGCACCTCAGATTTATGTTGCAGCAAGCTGGGCAGAAGTTCTGGCTTTTGAAAGCCAGCTCACAGTAGCTAATGTGAGAGAATAACTCCAAATGTACCTATGATTGTTACTTGTGATAAGACAGTGGCTTGAGGCGCCAATCAAAAAATCACACGTTTCACTGTACTAAGCACTGGACAAACGCAAAGTAAAAGATCTATTTAAATGTTATGTAGACACCCAATGTGAATAAAAAGAGGAATGTGTTAGAAATGGTGTCTTTTCCTCTTGAGGAACTGGCATAATTTCCATCATTAGTGTGGAATGCAAATGCATCCTGAGGGGAGAATGTGCCCCTTCGTGTAAGTTAGGGGAATCCTTAAGGATGGAAAGTGTGCTGAAAACATTACAAGGCCTTCATATTCTGTGATGCAGACTTTTTATAAACTGAAAAACCACATAGTAGATAAATATTTTTAAAAATAAAACCAAACTTTTCAGACCTGACTATGACTTTGGGGTCTCAACAGTTAGAGTGCCCAATTTGAGATATGTCAGAGGGCTGACCACCTACCCTCTGAAAATCAGGTCCTTTTAAGATGTCCCAAACTGAGCACCTAAAAATTATGGTAACCCCCAAAAATCGACAGTGACTATTGAAAACCCTGACCCAGAACACAGAGGCAAAATGATCACATGACAAACATTTCACCTAACCCCGACTCTTCCCCCCCCCAAAAAAAAACCAAAAAAACAGGAGCAAAGTAATGATTCTGTAAGTCCTAGGAAACTAGTGAGAATTAAAACAAAAGAATAATTAGCTAATCAAAGGCTTGCTCTTCATCTGAATACACAGGGATAACCTGAGGAGAAACAAAAATTTTAAAAAGTTTAAAGAATATAAGCAATAATGGAGTAAAAACATTTAGCTTTTCCCTGCTGAGCAGATGGGAAAAAAAAAGAAAAGTATTTTTAAACAAAAATATTAAATTTTAAACTCAAAACATAAGTGCATTGGGAAGAAGTGGTTGTGTCAGATATAATACATGAACATTTCAGATATGAAATTATGTAACTATTGGGAAGTTTTATGGATAACTATAACAATATTTATAATTTAGAAAATATTTTTATCCATAAATCGTAAAGCTCCATGTACAGGTGGGTAATTATTACTAACATTTTATAGATGGGGAAACGAAGGAACCAAGATGTTAATATACCTGCCCAGTGTCACACAGAGATTAGCCATCTTTTAACATCCTAGTCTTGATGACGAAACTGAGAATAAAACCCAGGTCTCCTGAGTCCCATTCTAGTGTCTTATTCACTGGATCACTTTCTCTCTTTATAGATATATATTTATATATTATAACAAAACATGCTGACCAAAGTGTAACAATTATTTAGTTCATAAAAATTCAGTAAATTATATTATTGAAAAATCAGAGTATAAGTGGCTTCATTTTCAAATGAAAACTTTAAAGGCATATTGTCAGCAATTTTTAAATATTAATAACCTGGGTGCAAATATTGTTTCAGGTTTCAGTACAGAATACAAAATTAAGCACATTAAACTTACATTGCACATTTCTCTGACTATAGCTTTTTCTGTCTCACTAAGGTCATGATCATATTCTTTACCATGCTGCCGATCTATATTTTCCTGAGCTTCCAAGACCTGGGTATGTTAAAAAAAAAAGTAAATTTTATTTTACAAATGGAATTTGTTCTTCAACTACAATAAGAACATTAAGAAATGTAATCTCTAAAAAGGCCTTTTCAGGGTAAGAATATGCATGTGTAATTGAATAATAGATTTAAGTGTAATGAAGCAGATCAGAGTATGTAGTCAGCACACGTTTCCTCCAGTATACAATGAAATTGGACTAGATTTAAAAACTTGATGCAAAAATTACTGGGTGAGGTTCTATTGCCTCTGTTATGCAGGAGGTCAGAACAGGTGATCCTAATGGTCTCTTTTGGCCTTAAGCTGTGAAAAGGGCTGTACCTTACATCAGTACTATAACCTACATGGAACATGTATACAGTAGAACCTAAAAGATATGAACACCAGAGTTACGGACTTACCGATCAACCGACACCCTGTGAAACTGGAAGTCATCAATCAGACAGTAGTGCAGAGAAAAAGAAAAAAAAAGCAAATACTGTACTGCCTTGGGGCATTAGACCCGAGGCTCTGGGCCTCAGCCACTGGGGGGTTGGTCTCCAGGCGGACGGGGGGCTCAGGGGTTCTGACCCTCGGGAGCCCTGTGGCTCCGTTTCTGGCTTCTGCTCTGCAGGGGGTGTCAGGGCTTGGGGCTTCAGCCCCATAGCTCTGCTCCCAGTTTCAGCCCCGGGGGTGCTGGGGCTTGAGCTATGAGGGGTGTGCCAGTTTCAGCCCCAGAGCTCCCCCTGTAGCTAAAGCCCCAATCCCCCCCGCACACACACACCTGCTGAAACCAGGAGTGGAGCTGCTCGGCTGTAGCCCTGAGCCCCAGCGTCCTGCCCCAGCTGAAGCCAGGAACAGAGCTGTGAGGCTGAAGCCCCGATCCCTGGTCCCACAGGCACCAACTCCCTGGTGAAACCAGGAGCGGTCTGGCGCTTCGCACAGGGCAGCTTCGGGGCTGAAGCTCTGAGCCCCAGTGCCCCCTACGAGGCTGAAACCAGGAGCTAAGCTGCAGGGCTGAAATCCAAGTCCCAGCACTCCCCTCAGATCTAAAGCCCTGAGCTCTGGTGCTCCCGGGGGTAGAAGCCCTGAGCCCCCTGCCGGAAGCCCTGGTGGCCCCTAAGGTCAGAAGCTCCAACACACACACCCTGCTGGGAGTCCTGACCCTCCGCCTCCACCCTGCAGTTTCAGCTCCAATTCCCCCATGTCTGAAATCCATCACGTCTTTTTCAGAGTTACTATAATTTCAGAGTTACAGCCCCCATTCCCAAGGTGTCCGTAACTCTGAGGTTCTACTGTATCTCTACATGGAAATATGGCTTTTGGGTGATAAAACAATACTGGCCATTACATAAAAGCATGTGTTTCCATATTAAATGTTCACAGAGTTATTTCATATGTAACCTAGTTATGTAGTCTTTAACCAGGCAAAACTCCCGAAGAAACGGTTGATTCTATTTGGGAAAAAACACTCAAAGGGAAGGATAACCACCTTTAAATCCCTCCTGGCCAGAGGAAAAACCCTTTCACCTGTAAAGGGTTAAGAAGCTAAGATAACCTCACTGGCATCTGACCAAAATGACCAATGAGTAGACAAGATACTTTCAAAGCTGTAGGGGGAGGGGGGAAACAAAGGGTCCTCTCTGTCTGTGTGATGCTTTTGCCGGGACCAGAGCAGGAATGCAGGTCAGAACTCCTGTAAAGAGTTAGTAAGCAATCTAGTTAGATATGCGTTAGATTCTGTTTTGTTTAAACTGCTGATACAATAAGTTGTGCTGAATGCGATGTATATTCCTGTTTTTGTATCTTTTTGTAACTTAAGGTTTTGCCTAGAGGGATTCTCTATGTTTTGAATCTGACTACTCTGTAAGGTATTTCCCTTCCTGTTTTTACAGAGGTTTTTCTTTTACTTTTTCTTTAATTAAAATTCTCTTTTAAGAACCTGATTGCTTTTTCATTGTTCTTAAGATCCAAGGGTTTGGGTCTGTGTTCACCTATGCAAATTGGTGAGGATTTTTATCAAGCCTTCCCCAGAAAAGGGGGTGTAGTGCTTGGGGGGGTAGACGTTTCCAAGTGGGCACTTCCCCTGTTATTTTTGTTAGACACTTTGGTGGTGGCAGCATAAGGTCCAGGGACGAAAGGTAAAACAGTTTGTACCTTGGGGATGTTTTAACCTAAGCTGGTAAAAATAAGCTTAGGGGATCTTTCATGCAGGTTCCCACATCTGTACCCTAGAGTTCAGAGTGGGGAAGGAACCTTGACAGGATTCAATTCAAATAAAAAAATCCATGCCATTCACTCAGCCCTACTAATTTAATATTGGTTACTAGAAGTTAACCTCTTCCCATTTAGGATTGAGGATTTAGTGCAAATGTTCTACTTGTCACAAGCAAGAGTGGTATCTATGCTTTCCATTTTACTGGCTAATTAGTCATCTTCTTCCTGTAAATATGCACAGAAACGATGGGCCCATTGACATCAATGTGCTTTGGACTAGGCCATTGGGATTTGGATTCAGGTGAGGATCCTGATTCAGCAGAGCACTTACACAAACACACTTAACTTTGAAGTCAATGGAATTTAAACACATGCTTATCTTAAGCATGTGCTCAAGTGCTTTACTAAACTGAAGCTTGGGGGGCACCTTTCTCAGATACACCACATAGGAGCTGATTTTTTGTGTGCTCTGGAGAATTGCATTTAAAATCAACTTAATGCTTAATAGATTTAAGTTTTGAGGAAAACAAAGTTCTAATTTATTTTATTTTTGCAAAATATATATGAGGTGATGGTGAAAGGTGCTACTCTCTTCTATGTTCTGAGTCACTGAGGTACAAACCCTCAGGATGTAACTCGCCCTATATAGACAATTGTTAAAGGGTCTGTGGGGGTTAAGTCACTCCTGGATGGAAAGTAAAAAAACTTTCCGAAATTCCTTTATGTTGCAGAGCATCTGCACAAAAGGAGGATCAGTGGCCAACTTCACCTTACACTGTGGGTATGTCTACATAGGAATAAAAAACCCACGGCTGGTCTGGGTCAGCTGACTCAAGCTCCCAGAGCTCACGCTGCAAGGCTGAAAAATCGCTATGTAGATGTTCAGGTTTAGACTGCCGCCAGAACTTTGGTGATGGTGGCGGGTCGCACAGCTTGGGCTCCAGACCAAGCCTGAATGTCCACACAGAGATTTTGAGCCCCGACAGCCCAAGCTCCACAAGCCCGAATTGGCTGACCCCGGCTAGCTCTTGCCATGCCACAGGAGCTATCCCTGTGTAGACATACCCTCAGTGATCCTAAGTCAGGAGCCTTAGGCCTGGTCTACAGTTAGGGCTTGTAAACCAACTAAAAGGTGTAACGGCAACATGCACAAATTAAAGTACATTACCCTCATGTGGATGCTCTCACTCAGAAGTAAAGGATTAAGTTACAGCAAATTAAGACCACTTTACTCCTGAGTGACATCAGCCAGACAGGGGTTTAATGTGCTTTAAATTGTGCACATGGACTTCACGCATTTAGTTGATTCATCTTAACTTTCCTTAGTGCAGACATTCCTGCAGAAGCTTTACCAGCATAACCATGTCAATTGAGGAGAGGGGGTGATTTTTTAATCAAATAATTATACCAGTGTGTACACACACACACACAGAGTTATATTGATCAAAAAAGACTAATACTGGTATATCTTATTCCCCTTCCTGTGCTGTAATAAGCTACACCAGAATAAGCACTTTTATACTGCTATTGTAATGCAGTTATAGAAGTTTTTAATGAATTAACTAGACCACAGAATCATAGAATCATAGCATATCAGGGTTGGAAGGGACCTCAGGAGGTCATCTAGTCCAACCCACTGCTCAAAGCAGGACCGATCCCTTACTAAATCATCCCAGCAAGGGCTTTGTCAAGCCTGACCTTAAAAACTTCTAAGGAAGGAGATTCTACCACCTCCCTAGGTAACACATTCCAGTGTTTCACCACCCTCCTAGTGAAAAAGTTTTTCCTAATATCCAACCTAAATCTCCCCCACGGCAACTTAAGACCATTACTCCTTGTTCTGTCATCTGCTACCACTGAGAACAGTCTAGAGCCATCCTCTTTGGAACCCCCTTTCAGGTAGTTGAAAACAGCTATCAAATCCCCCCTTATTCTTCTCTTCTGTAGACTAAACATCCCCAGTTCCCTCAGCCTCTCCTCAAATCATGTGCTCCAGCCCCCTAATCATTTTTGTTGCCCTTCGCTGGACTCTTTCCAATTTATCCACATCCTTCTTGTAGTGTGGGGCCCAAAACTGGACACAGTACTCCAGATGAGGCCTCACCAATGTCGAATAGAGGGGAATGATCACGTCCCTTGATCTGCTGGTAATGCCCCTACGTATACATCCCAAAATGCCATTAGCCTTCTTGGCAACAAGGGCACACTGTTGACTCAGATCCAGCTTCTTTTCCACTTTTCTGCAGAACTGCTGCCTAGCCATTCGGTCCCTAGTCTGTAGCAGTGCATGGGATTCTTCCGTCCTAAGTGCAGGACTCTGCACTTGTCCTTGTTGAACCTCATCAGATTTCTTTTGGCCCAATCCTCCAATTTGTCTAGGTCCTCTGTATCCTATCCCTACCCTCCAGCATAGTTTAAAAAAAAACAGTGTAGTTTTAAAAAAAATCAGTAAAAATGTCTAATGTAGACGTGGCCTTGCACAGGGGCTGAGACAGCAACAAAGGACTGTGTTTAAGTACAGAGATTCCAGGAGAGTCCAAGGCTTATCTATACACAAAAGTTTCCCCACTTTATAGATACCAGTGTAGTTAAAGTAGAACAATCCCATTACTGAGTGTTGTTGGTATAAAGGGTTCTTCTACTGGTATAGCTATTCCTATATGGAAAGGGAATAAGCTCTACCTGTATGCTAGTATTATTGTGTTCATACTAGGATTTGTACCACCCCTAACCGAAACAGTTATACTGGTAAGTTTCCAGTACAGACCAGGCCCAAGACAGATAGAGGTCCAAGTGAGCAGCCTCTTGGAGACAGGGCAGTGGAGGGAGTTGCCTTGTGTGTTGTTTGTGACCACCTCTGTTCAAGGGATCAGGACTTGTGTACATTTTTCAGTTTGGCTGAAAGGAAGAAATTTTATTTAACTGGATAAAATGTAGCGCACTCAGGGAAATGCCTAGCATCATTCATCTCTATTTTTGCCTGCTGATACAATTCCTATCAGGATAAAAGCAGGGGCAACACAGCACAGAAAATGAAATTTTGGATACATCTAACCATTTTAATAATCCTAATGAGTACTTTACCACTGTAAACACATCCACTTACACCAACTAGCTATCAGACACTGTCAAAAGCATGTTGATAATTGTTCCAATCAAAGCGATTTGTCAGAGGCTATACAGAGCTAACTACAATAATCTTATTTTGTAAATCCACATGATCTCTAGGCTAAATTGTTTTGTGCAGCTTTGTTTTCCATAATGACAGCAGGTGAAATTCACCCATCCTTGGAGGGCACACACAAGACCTTTGGTGCTGCTGAAATATGCACTTCTCAAGCACAGAGGAAACTGAATGGCTTCCCCACCCCTGGATACTACAGGGCTGGGATTTGTACTGCCCCCAAGCAGACTGGGTGTAGATGGTGGCAGGGCAGACTAGGGGAGCAGCCGCTTGAACCTCAATTATGTGCAGGTGGCAGGAGGCTAGTCCTAAGCTAGAGTAGTGGATGCGGGGAGACTACCCGAACCCTTATATTCTGATGAAGAAATGGCTTTTACTGCCACAATGCCTACACATTTCACCAGCATAAAAGCTGTTTACTCAAGCTTTATGTAGGATAATTAAATGTCACCCATCCACATGTAGGATAATTCTCCTTTCCACTAACCAACAAATATTGTCAAATCAATAATGCTCAGTACTTACATAGCATTTTTCATCTTCAAAGAGCTTAACCAATTCTGAGTCCAATATTGCTCATCTTACTCAGGAAAAACTCACGCTGACTTTACTGGCAATTTTGTCTGAGTGAAGAGTGCAAAACTGGGACCCTTAAGTAACTAATTTATCCTTACATCATTGCCTAGTATGGCAGGTAAGGAGTTACAGTGAGTATTATTCCTGTTTTCAAATGAGTAAGCTGTGTAAGAATGATTTGCCTACACCTCACAGAAGGTTATCACTATCAGACCTGGGAGTTCCTGGTTCGATGCTCAGACCATTAGGTCACGCCTCGTCCAAACTGCCCCGAAAGGACAAGAGATTTCTATTGCATAGCTGATGCATATATAGTGGTGGGAACATGTACTTGCACAGTTGCCATGTGAAATCTCATGATATGCTAGATACCTCCTGATAGCTCATTGTAACATTTTGTTTCATTAAGGGAAGTAGTTGCTGCTAAAGTCACAAAGGGCCAGACTGTGAGCCTTCTGCTCACATAATTCCTTAGAAGTCAACAGGACTACTTCCTGTGTGTTCACCAAAGTAAGTAAGAGGTTCACAATCTGGACCCAGGTTAGCATGAGAACTAAAGGGATTTACTCTACCTTCCAGAATGACTCAGATTATCGTGCATTGTTTTCAGCACTACATAGTAGGTACATCACACTCTCTGAAAACACATGACAAAGTCCACACCATGCTTGTGCATACTGTATAATTTGGTTTCATTTTTATAAAAAAATGTTTGTGATATTCATATTAATCACCTTATACTATAGCAGAGAATACATCTAGTTCACAGATCTCTTGTCGACCCTTCATCATAATCATTGTCATAAAAGAAAGTAGGTATAATTTACTACGGGAACACAATGGAACCCATTGTGCTAGACACTATACGCTCACAATGGAGAGAGTCCCTGACCCAAAGAGCTCACACTCTAAGTACATGAGTGAAACAAAAAATAATGTTGTATATGAAGATATTGCAGTGATATTGCTCTAAGTACAATGGAACATATGTCAAACAACATACGTAACATTCTGCATATACTGTATGGGAGTGTGTTACCTTAATAGCATTTACCACTGCTTCAGGCTGCTGAGAAGGTGAGACATGTCCACTGAAGCTAGCTGGATGGTTTGGAGAGCAGTAACTCCCATCCGCCCCTGATGGCATCCTAAGGGGACCCTTAGTAGAAAATTAAAAACTATTTAATAATGAAAGGTGTTTGCCACTAATTAAGCAGATGTAAATTTTTTAAAAAGTCAGTTTATCATGTGAGCATGGAGGGCATATTTCATTCAAAACCTTTCCCTATCTCTGTGCCATGCTTGTGCTACTTTCAATAATAAAAAGACCTGAATTAAGTCTAAAACACCTCAGCTACATTGAGCAAATTGCCTGAGTTTGATTCTCGAAAGATACTCGTTACCCTTGTGAGTGGTCACCTACTATCATGGAGAGGAAACCTGGTTAAGTGGTTAGAGCACAAGGCAGAATCAGGTGCTTTGGCTCTATTCTCAGCTTTGCCACTAACTTAACATCTGCAAGGTGTTCTGTCTGTGCAGAGCAGCTTGCTGTCCTGGAGCCTTACTGAAATCTTGAGCATGCCACTGAACTTTTCTGTGGCTCAGTTTTCCCATCTGGGAAATTAGGATACTTACTGACAGTCTTCAGAAGGGTGTTGTGAAGCTTAAAGGGAAACAGTTTTGGCCCCAAATATACTTGTCACCTTTCAGGGCAACTGCACCTGTTTTCACCTCCATGGTCCAGCTCCTCAGCTGTCACCTCTCTTGGGAAGAGACCTGTGTCTCTCTCCCTCCTGACCAGGGTTTTTCCAAGCCGCACAGTTCCCTGCCTACACTGAGTTCCCAGCAAGTCAGACTACGCAGGCCTGCTTTGCTTTCTCCTCAGAGGCTATACACAGAACAATTGCCCCCAGTTAAAAGTTTCCACACAGCCCATTCTGAGCAAACACATATATTTTTAAGATGAAGGCATTACAAAGGAAACATATTACAACAATAAACAAAACCTACACACATGCTAATAAGCTTAGCAGAGATCATCCCAGTTCCAGCAAGGGCTCAGGAAGGATTCAGTCCATGAAATCCCACCAAGGGGTTTTTCTGGGGTCACAAGTTCAGAACAGCTTTTGTTCAGAACAAGCACACCCAGGACTCAGAGTCACTCATTTATACAGTTTGGGTCTTTGGTCTTGGGACCCTGGGAACAGATAATCAGCAAAGGTCCCCTCCTCAGGGTGAAACTTCAAAAGATGAGCTCTTGTATATCCAGAGAAGGTATATTCCCCTGGAGATTTTCTGGGAGACCCACCTAGCTTTAAGAAAAGGAGTACTTGTGGCACCTTAGAGACTAACCAATTTATCTGAGCATGAGCTTTCGTGAGCTACAGCTCACTTCATTATGCAAGCCACCTAGCTTTGTTTGTCCCATAAGTTCATTTTTGTCTGGCACATTGTTTTAAACAGCCCTTTGATGCTCATAACACTTTCCAGGGTTTACACTGGTCACATCTCCCCTACTGAAGTTACATAGAATTGCACATTAACACAAACTTTGCATTTTGAATACAATGGACTCCAAAGGTACTTAAACTTAATTCATTAAGGTTTTTTTCCCCCAGGATTTTGCAGGAAATCACTGTATCTGTCACAGTAGGTTTTGAGAATGCCTAACCTCAATCAAAATGTTTCCATGAGTGGGGGGTTGGATTTTTTAATTCCAGTTAAATTGACTGGGAAGAGTTAAAATTTTGGAACATTCCCCTGTAGAGTTTGCAGCCCAAATACTGCTGTGTCTTATTTGGAGAGGAGCAGTGTGAATGGGGAAAGATACATGACTCCTGATTTATCCTTTCCCCACTTTAAACATATACAGTCTGCTGAAGATAAAGTGACAGGTGGTCCCTCGAAAGTCACCTGCATTCTCTCCCTGCTTGTGCAATGGCATCAAATGTTACCAGCCTTGGAAGCAGCTCCCATTTATGGAGATATGGCTCAGAAAGCAGCCTGGCAAGTCCATCTTTCTCTTTACTTGTGGCCTGTGGCATTCAAAAATGCCATGGGTAGCTCAGTAGTGGATCTTCTGCCACTCTGAGAGGAGTGTAGATTTCAGGTGAGTAGGGGAATGAGGCAGTGAAGGAAAAGGGAAGGCGATGAGAGGAATTTTAAAAGTGTAACAACACAAAAACTCAAAAGAAAAAAAGAAAAAAAAAAACACCACAGCAAACAAACAATGGAACAGAGACAGAAATGGATAGGGGAGAGGGAAAGCCAAGAGAGTAGCAGCTGTCCTGGCATGAGAAGATGCAGGATCCATCTACACTGCAATAAAAAACCTGTGGCACCAGGTCTCAGAGCCTGTGTCAACTGACTCAGGGTATGTCTATACTTACCAGGGATCGACACTGTGGCGATCGATCCACCCGGGGTCAATTTAGTGGGTCTAGTGAAGACCCACTAAATCGACTGCAGATAGCTCTCCCATCAACTAAGGTACTCCACTGGAATGAGAAGCATAAGGTAAGTCAACAGGAGAGTTTCTCTCATTGACCCAGCGTGGTGTAGACACCGCAGTAAGCTGACCTAAGCTACATCCACTCCAGCTACGTTATCATGTTATTGTGTAACCTAGGTCGACTTAACCCTATAGTGTAGACTTGTCCTCAGTCTCACAGGGTTTAGACTGCAGGGCAAAAATTGCACTGTAGAAGCTTGGGCTCAGGCTGGACCCCAGGCTCTGAGACTCACCCTCCATATAGGCTCCAGCCCAAGCCTGAACATCCACACTGCAACTTTTAGCCCCACAGCATGAGCCCCATGCACCTGAGTCAGCTGACCTGGGCCAGCCGTGGCCATGCCACAGATCTTTTACTGCAGTGTAGATGTGCCCTAAGGGGATGCTCCAGCATAAAGAGTTTGGGGACCAGCATGATCTAGTGGATGAAGCACTGAGGAAAACTGGGTTGTATTCCTGGCTCTGCCACTAATCTGTTGTGAGACCTTGGTAGGTCACTCCCCACTCTTAGACAAAGGTCAGAAGGGACCATTATGATCATCTAGTCTGACCTCCTGCACAATGCAGGCCACAGAATCTCATCCACCCACTCCTACAATAAACCTCTCACCTATGTCTGAGCTATTGAAGTCCTCAAATCATGGTTTAAAAACTTCAAGGTGCAGAGAATCCTCCAGCAAGTGACCCGTGCCCCATATGGCACGATCCTCAAAGAATCAATCCTGAAGCACTTGCATGAGAGGAAGGTGATCAGGAACAGCCAGCATGGATTCACCAAGGGAAGGTCATGCCTGACTAATCTAATCGCCTTTTAAGATGAGATTACTGGTTCTGTGGATGAAGGGAAAGCAGTGGATGTATTGTTTCTTGACTTTAGCAAAGCTTTTGACACGGTCTCCCACAGTATTCTTGTCAGCAAGTTAAGGAAGTATGGGCTGGATGAATGCACTATAAGGTGGGTAGAAAGCTGACTAGATTGTCGGGCTCAACGGGTAGTGATCAATGGCTCCATGTCTAGTTGGCAGCCGGTATCAAGTGGAGTGCCCCAAGGGTCGGTCCTGGGGCCGGTTTTGTTCTGGAGGATGGTGTGGATTGCACTCTCAGCAAATTTGCGGATGATACTAAACTGGGAGGAGTGATAGATACGCTGGAGGGGAGGGATAGGATACAGAAGGACCTAGACAAATTGGAGGATTGGGCCAAAAGAAATCTGATGAGGTTCAATAAGGATAAGTGCAGGGTCCTGCACTTAGGACGGAAGAACCCAATGCACCGCTACAGACTAGGGACCGAATGGCTAGGCAGCAGTTCTGCGGAAAAGGACCTAGGGGTGACAGTGGACGAGAAGCTGGATATGAGTCAGCAGTGTGCCCTTGTTGCCAAGAAGGCCAATGGCATTTTGGGATGTATAAGTAGGGGCATAGCGAGCAGATCGAGGGACGTGATCGTTCCCCTCTATTCGACATTGGTGAGGCCTCATCTGGAGTACTGTGTCCAGTTTTGGGCCCCACACTACAAGAAGGATGTGGATAAATTGGAGAGAGTCCAGCGAAGGGCAACAAAAATGATTAGGGGTCTAGAACACATGACTTATGAGGAGAGGCTGAGGGAGCTGGGATTGTTTAGCCTGCAGAAGAGAAGAATGAGGGGGGATTTGATAGCTGCTTTCAACTACCTGAAAGGGGGTTCCAAAGAGGATGGCTCTAGACTGTTCTCAATGGTAGCAGATGACAGAACGAGGAGTAATGGTCTCAAGTTGCAGTGGGGGAGGTTTAGATTGGATATTAGGAAAAACTTTTTCACTAAGAGGGTGGTGAAACACTGGAATGCGTTACCTAGGGAGGTGGTAGAATCTCCTTCCTTAGAGGTTTTTAAGGTCAGGCTTGACAAAGCCCTGGCTGGGATGATTTAACTGGGAATTGGTCCTGCTTCGAGCAGGGGGTTGGACTAGATGACCTTCAGGGGTCCCTTCCAACCCTGATATTCTATGATTCTATGGCAGAGGAAGGCGAAACCCCCCACGACCTCTTCCAATCTGCCCTGGAGGAAAATTCCTTCTCGACCCCAAATATGGTGATCAGCTGAACCCTGAGCATGTGGGCAAGATTCATCAGCCAGATACCCAGGAAAGAATTCTCTGTAGTAACTCAGATCCTACCCCATTTAACATTCCATCACAGGCCATTGGGCCTATTTTTACCATGAATAGTTAAAGATCAATTAATTGCCAAAATCATGTTATCCCATCATACCATCTCCTCCATAAACTTATCAAGTTTAATCTTGAAGCCAGATAGGTCTTTACCCCCCACTACTTTCCTTGGAAGGCTGTTCCAGAGCTTCACTCATCTGATGGTTAGAAACCTTCATCTAATTTCAAGTCTAAACTTCCCAATGGCCAGTTTATATCCATTTGTTCTTGTGTCCACATTGGTACTGAGCTTAAATAATTCCTCTTCCTCCCTGTTATTTATCCCTCTGATATATTTATAGAGAGCAAACATATTTCCCCTCAGCCTTCTTTTGGTTAGGCTAAACAAGCCAAGCTCCTTGAGTCTCCTTTCTTAAGACAGGTTTTCCATTCCTCGGATCATCTAGTAGCCCTTCTCTGTATCTGTTCCAGTTTGAATTCATCCTTCTTAAGCATG